TTTCGGAGCCCTTCTGGGCCGTCTTGGACGTGTGTTGGCGCGTCTTGGGGCCCTCGAGGGCTATGTACGGACCCTCTTGGAGGCGTCCTGGACCGTCTGGGAGCGGGTTTGGGGGGCTCTGGGGCCGTGCAGGAGCGGGGGTCACCCTCAAAGGCGCACGTGTGAAACAATATACGTTTTACGAAGGAAACAAACGATTTGTTGCGTCTAGAGGGCCTCTTGGGGGGAATCTTGGATGCCTGTGGGGGCGTCTGGGGAGGCCTCGTGAGCCGTCGGGAGGTCGTCGTCGATGTTTCTGATCGCTCTTGGACCGTCTGGGACCATGTGGAGCTTCGGGGAGGCAACTCGGAGCGCTCCTGGAACGCTCTTGGGGCCGTTTTCGGAGCCCTCTTGGGCCGTCTTGGACGCCTGTTGGCCCATCTTGGGCCCTCTAGGGGTCTGTGGGGGACCCTCTGCGAGGCTTCTGGGGCCGTCTGGGAGCGGGTTTGGGAGCCTCTTGGGCCGTCGGGGAGCATCGGAAAGATCCAAAGCTGAATTTTTTAAAATGTACATTTCACGAAGGGAATGGCCCAATTTTGGCGTCTAGGGACCCTTGTGGAACGCATCTCGGAGGCCCTCGGGGGAGCTCGTGGGGACCTCTTCTGCCGTCGAGGACGCCTCGTGGCCCGTCTTCGGGCAAACTTGGACGTCTTGGAGCGCTCGTGGGGCGTCCCAAATCCATTTCGAAGCCACCAAACGCGTCCCTACACGAATTTCACGTGTTTTTTTCCACGTTTTTCGTCACCCCCAAAAGCGCACGTGTGAAAAAATACGTTTTACGAAGGAAACAAACGATTTTTTGCATCTAGAGGGCCTCTTGGGGGGAATCTTGGATGCCTGTGGGGGCGTCTGGGGAGGCCTCGTGAGCCGTCGGGAGGTCGTCGTCGATGTTTCTGATCGCTCTTGGACCGTCTGGGACCATGTGGAGCTTCGGGGAGGCAGCTCGGAGCGCTCCTGGAACGCTCTTGGGGCCGTTTTCGGAGCCCTCTTGGGCCGTCTTGGACGCCTGTTGGCCCATCTTGGGCCCTCTAGGGGTCTGTGGGGGACCCTCTGCGAGGCTTCTGGGGCCGTCTGCGAGCGGGTTTGGGAGCCTCTTGGGCCGTCGGGGAGCATCGGAAAGATCCAAAGCTGAATTGTTTAAAATGTACATTTCACGAAGGGAATGGCCCAATTTTGGCGTCTAGGGACCCTTGTGGAACGCATCTCGGAGGCCCTCGGGGGAGCTCGTGGGGACCTCTTCTGCCGTCGAGGACGCCTCGTGGCCCGTCTTCGGGCAAACTTGGACGTCTTGGAGCGCTCGTGGGGCGTCCCAAACCCATTTCGAGGCCACCAGGCGCGTCCCTACACGAATTTCGCGTGTTTTTCCACGTTTTTCGGGAGCGGATGAGACCTCCGGGGGGTTCCGGCCCGTCCGGCCGGACCCCCCCCCCCCCCTCCAAATGGACCGGACCGGGCTCCCGGGGGAGGGGTTTGGGGAGGGGGAACATCTCACACGCCGATGAACCCCAAGGGGTCGGCGGATTTGTATGTCCCAGGGCCCCTTCATTCTTCGGGGCCTGCTGGCTGTCTGAGGTCGTCTTGGGGAGGAGCGCCCAGGACATCGATTCGTGCTCCCTCTCTGGGCCCTTTTGTTGGGGGCTGCTCTTTGGGCCCTCTTGGAATTCGGTCTCGGGGTCCTCTTGGACCTCTTGAGGGGCCCTTTTGGGCCGTTTGGGAGCCCTCCTGGGGGCCTTTTGGACCGTCTCGGTGGGATTTTGGGGGCCTCTTGTACTGGCTCGGAGCTTCGGAAGCCTGAAAAGGCGAGAACCCTAAAATCATTGAACAACCTACGGGGGATCAATGATTTTGGCCTCTCGGGGCCCTTCTGGGAGGCCTCTCGGGGGCCTCTTGGGCAGTCTGGAGGCCATCTTGGGCGTCTCAGAGTGATATTCGGGCCACTCGGGGTGCTCTTGGACCGCTTCGGGGGCCTTATGGGGCGCTCCTGGGCCGTCTTGGGCCCCTCTTGGCTACGAACAGCTAGCTAATTCTTGCGGGAAGACCCGGGAGCGCTCGAGAGCGCCCGAGAGAGCCCGGAACTTCAGGCTGCGGGCCCCTTGAAGAATCCTCAGGACTGAGGACGGAGGAGGCACTCGGCACGCCGCTACGTGCCACTGGCACGCCGACAGAGGCAAGGCCACGGGCTACGGCCCAACACGCCCACCTCTTCTTCACCCCCCACCTGAGGGCACTCCAACGCGTGCTTCAGGGCACGGTGGCGTAGCCACCTCCTCTCCTCCTCCTTCCGTCCCTCCTGCTCCCTCGCCTCCCTGGCTGGTGCTTCGCGCGATGGAGCCCCCGTTCCCTCAGCGGGGAAGCTGGCGTTTTTTCCACCATTCCCCCCAGCACTGCTTGTACTTGTCACCACCCACCAAACCACCCCAACCCAACCCGAAGGCCTCAATCTGCCCTCCCTTTCCAGTGGGGGGGATGTCGGGGAGCGTTGAGAAAAACACAGATGAAACCCTCCCCCCCCAAACCCGAAATTCGGGCCTTCGGGTTGGGTTGGGGTGGTCTGGTAGGCAGTCAACTTGTGGGTGCGTCTGCTCTGGGGGGCCTGGGCCCCTCTGCCGCTCCGGCGGCCACTGTGCCGCCGCCGCCGCCCCGTCGCTGCCCCCCGTCGCCGCCCGTCGCCTGGGCCTGTCTGCCGCTCTGGCGGCCATGTTCCAGGAGGGGAAACAACACACAGACACAATTAATCGTCAACTCCCAGGAAAAAATGGAAAAATATGGGGATTGGGGGGAAGACAAAAACCCAGAAAATATAGAAAATTTAGGAACAGATGGGGAATATTTTATTTGTGTGTATTTATTTGTGTGTCCTGGGGCCCCTTTAATGTCGCCGCCGCTCTCGCACCGTCGCCGCCTCGTCGCCACGCGCCGTCTGGGCCTGTCTGCCGCTGTGGCGGCTCCGTGCGGACCGTCGCCGCCTCGTCGCCGCCCCGTCGCCGCCTCGACTGCGCAACATAGAGTTTCCTTGCCAAAAAGGAATCAGGATCCCCCCCCGGCTTTACCGGTCCATCTTTGTGTTTTGCTATTTACATATGACTCTGCCGCATCGTCCATTCTAAATTTGAGCTCATACCATCCCAGCCCAGCCAGCTTCGACCCCCCCCGCCATCCTCTGCAACACATTCTATGCGCGCGCACTTGTTGATCAACAATCAAAGTTTTTAGGAATCCCCTGCTCAACATGGGACGAAGTGCACACGCGCGCGTCGTCGCGCGCGCATTTAAAATTATAGAAACACATGGCTTAGCAACACGGATTTTCAAAACAACGTGCGCGCGCGTTCTTGCGAATTCTTAAGAAAGCAATAGTTGTTTTTTCTTACAACATTGTCAGACCATGCTACCAAACGGGCTTCGCGCGCGCATGTCGAAATCGTTCGAACGCCTTTGCGCGCGTGCCGTCGCGATTATCCTCTGCAAAAAGTGAGACGAAGCGCACACACGTTCAAAAACCTTCGGTTTCGTAGCGATATCAAAGCCGAATGTCTAAAACACATTCAAAAACACATGGTTTCGCAACATCGGTTTTCCAAACAAAAGCTTGCGCGCTTCTGCGAATTCTCACGAAAACCAAAGGTTGATTTCAACATGCCACTGGATTCTGCCAATCGGGCCTCTGGCGCCGCATGCCGACATCATTCGCACGCCTTTGCGCGCGTGCTGTGTGTGTGTGTGTGTGTGTGTGTGTGTGTGTGTGTTTGTGTGTGTGGCATGATTTGTGTCAAATAAAACTTTGCGGGCCATTCGCGCGTCGGCCGCGCGCGCACGTCGAACTCTTTCCAGAACCTTTATCACCGACGCGAGGACGCCGTCATCGTCGTCGTCGTGGTCAGCTTCGCCGCCCGCACTGGCCGCGCCTTCGTCGGTGCGAACATCGTCACCAGTGTCGCCACTATCATCATCGTGTCTACCGTTGTCGGCGCTGCCATGATACCGCGCCCGCCCAAGTCGCCGACTCGCAGTGAAGTGCCCGCTGGGATGCGCCCAGCGGTCAGCGCCACCGCGGCCGCGTCGGCGGCGCCAGACTAGCTTGCCGCTGCGCGCGCGTGCTAGGGTTGGCGCGGCTGCAGAGATGCACCAGCCAACGCATCGCAATCGCCACCGCATGATTTTGCAAACCAAGTTGCGGGTGGGTGGGTGGGATTTTTGCAAGCGCATGGAATGTGTCAGTTCGCTTGTTTAGACCACTTGCGCCGCATAGATTGCACCGCGCATATTGCACACCTATTTTAACACCACGTCGATTGCACCGCACATGTTCGCATCATATTTATGTCACCACATCTAGTGCACAACCTGCATTGCACGTCGTCTATTGCACAGCATCTGTTGCACAGCGCATCTTGTACAACATGGATCGTACCACGTCTAATGAAGCACGTAAATAGGTCCACCTAGATTGCACAACGCGTGATGCTAGAAACACACTGGCTGGGGTTCACGGTGGCCTTTATCGTCGAGCTGGGGCGCGAGAGAGGCGCAAGGGAGAGGATGCGAGAGGAGGGATGGATGGGCGGGGGTGGCGGAAGGCGGAGCTTGAAGAGAGGGAGGGCGGAGGGTGGAGGGGGAGCGCCCCGGGGCTTTTTCCCCTGCTGGCCCACTGCCCGCTCCTCTTGGCATCGCCCGCTTGGCATCGCCCGCTGGGACCGCTTATGCCACCGGCGCTCGCGGGAGGAGGGGCGGCGGGGCGCGCGGCCCGCCCCCATTCCGGGGCGGGGACTTATCCATAACCACCGCTTGGGGGATCGATTTTCGCGGTCCCCCACGGGCGGTGGGTATGGACATATTCGGGCCTCGGGGGTCAGAGTATATCCATATCCACCGCCCGCTGGGGCACCAGGCCGTCGGTTCCTGGGCGGTGGAAATGGATAAGTCACTGCTTCGCACCCCTTTCCCCCTCCCCACCGCGCGAGGAGAGGCCCTGGTGCTACGTCGTCGGCGGCAGCTTCGTGTGCTGCAAGGGGGTGCTGCCCGCCCGCCCGTCGCCCCCACCCCTCCCCACCCCAGTAACACGATGAAGACGTGGCCCCGCTAATGTCCCCGTCTTCGCATCACGGATGAGCAGTTCTGGGCGGTTTGGCCTGAGACATCTGCGGGACAGACCTCCTATCCTTAATGTTTGTGGCCCTCCGAGCGCAGGCCCCTCCCAAAGGGTCAGGGGCACTTTTTATGCTTATCACCCTTCGCAGGTCTCTCCCAGATCGGTGTTTCGATCCCGCCGATCTCTCTCTTCAGCTTCGGCCCCCCGGGGCCCCGGCGTCATCGAGTGCTGGTCGGGGGCGAGGCGGGCTGCCCCCAGGGAGGAGTTCGAGGCGTCCGTGGAACGCGGTCCGAGAAGGTCGGCCTGATGGATGTTTGGGTCCCAGGCGCGAGAGGGTCGGGGCGCTCCTCCTCCTCCTCCTCCTCCTCCTCCTCCTCCTCCTCCTCCTCCTCCTCCTCCTCCTCCTCCCTCCGTAGCCTTGGCTCAGGCCGTGTTCCCCGCTTTCTCCGCAGCCTTTTCGCCCATGTTCGGCGGCTCGGCGGCGGCGGTGGCGGGCGCGCCCTGGATGGCTGCGGGGGGCTGCCCGCCGATGTGGCGGCCCAGTGTTTTGAGGATCATCGAGAAGGACTTCCTCGGCGCCTCCGCGGCGAGGCGTGCTGCTCGACGGCGCGGTCGCGCTGCTCTGGAAGCAGCTTTGCGGCCGCTTGTGGCGGCTCGCGGCGCCCCAGGCTCGTGGGTGGACCGCGAGCGCGCGTCGAGGCCGGCTCTGCAAAGGATTGCCGCAGGAGATCGTGTTCCTGGCGCGATGCGGCTGAGGCGGAACGCCGCCTGGCACGCGTGCCGAGTGCCGCCTGGCGGCTTCACAGCCGCGTCTTCGGCGGATCTGTCCTGGGCTGCTGCTGGGCCTCGGCTGGGGCACTCTGCTGGTGGCATGCGGGCTGAGGCCGCGTCGTTCGTGCCGCGGGCTGCATGCCGTGCGGTGGGCGTGCGGTGCAGCTGCGGGGCGGTCGCTTTCTCATCGTGCTGCTTGCCACCTCCTGCTGACTGCCTGGCGTCGCCCGACGCGTCGCTCGTGGAGGATGAAGGATCCGAGGCGCCCGAGGGGGAGCGGTGGGCAGGCCCTGGGGAGGCCACCGCCTGCTCATCCTCCCCGATGGCGCCGCCCTGCTCAGACGCGACCCTGGCCTACCTGGAGGCGCACCCTGCTGCGGTGCTCAATGGGTGCAACGAGGCCGTGGACGGGAGCTGCCACGTGAAGGTACCGGCGGTGGAGGCGGAGGGCCTCGGCGTGTTCGTGGCGTCGGACTGCGTGGGCCCCTCCAAGAGCGTCGTGTCCGTCTCTGGCTCGGACTCCCAGCAGTACCAGAATGCCACCGCCGAGGCGACCGCGGAGGGCTACTGCGGGAAGATCAGCGAGGCGATCCGTGAGGCGGGCCTCGTGCGGCGGCTGCCTGTAGTACCGCCGTGGCTGCTCGAGGTCTCTGGTTCTGATCCTGGTTGCGCCCGTTGCGATGGTGCCCTCGTTCGTCGGCGACGCGGGCCAGGGAGGTGCTCATGCAGGGCATGCGGAATGCCCATTCCTCGTGGTGCGGTTGTGGCAGTCTGTCCGCGCTGCCGTGCATCGTGGCACAGTTCGTGTCTCAGGCGTTTGTTCGACGAGGATTGGGGCGACTCTGGCAGCTCTTCATGATGCCGTGCGTGCTCCTGTCCGTTGAGGTCTTCTTCGGGTTCACGCTTGTGGTGGGCTTCGCGGCAGGTGTGACGTCATCGGCGGGGCAGGGCTGGTGGCGAAAGTGGCAGGTGGCGCCACCCAGCCCTGCCCCCTCCTCTGGGGGGTGGCGCCGTCCCCCCAGAGAGTATGTCTTGGCAGTTGTCGATGTTAAAAAAATCCTCCTCCTCCTCCTCCTCCTCCTCCTCCTCCTCCTCCTCCTCCTCCTCCTCCTCCTCCTCCTCCCCCCTCCTTGCTCCTCTCCTCCTCATCGTCTTTCTGGGCGTCGTTCTCCCCCACGTGTTCCCCGAAGGGTTTCCTCCTCCTCCTCCTCCTCCTCCTCCTCCTCCTCCTCCGCCGCCCGCGGCACTTGCACCTGCCAGCCTGGCCCTCCTGTCTGCCCCCCCAGGCCATCCCCTCGCTGCTCCCCTTCCTGAGGATGCAGATCCTGGGAGGTCTCCTTCTGCGTCAGCGCTGCTCTCCTTCCTGAGGATGCAGATCCTGGGAGGTCTCCTTCTGCGTCAGCATCCGTTGACCCCAGGCCGGCCTACTCCGGGTTATTCCCGCGGGGGAGTAAATCCATACACCGACATTGCTTTCCCGAAGCTGATCGGACCCCGCAGGAACCACCCCCCACGCCAAATGGCGCGCAGAACACATGGGCGCAGTGGGCGCCGCTTGTGCCACCCTTGGAGAACATACCATGCGTTACTTCCAAGGGCCGATCCAGCACACCCACACACAAATATGTGTACGCCTCAGCATCTGATGTGCGATAGGATGCTTTCCTCCTTGGCCGACCACGTCGGTGCATTGCCTTCCGCCTCCTTCGATGGGGCGAATCCGAACACCGATGCGTGTCTGGGTCTCTCTGTGGACAGGGCGACGGACCTACCCGGGTCTGACGGAGCTGCCTGGGCCCCGTCCGCCGCGTGCGCGTGGTTATTTGGGCGCCATGATCGCGGTCGCGGGGCGCGGGGGTTCTGAAGGCCGCGGCCTCCAGGAATTCCTGGAAGCCGGGGCTCCTGGAAGCCAGGGTTCCAGGTTCCAGTCGTATTTCTCATGCGGCCTCCCCACGCATTTTGCTTCCCGTGTTGACGGGACTGCCTGGCGCGGTGGGGCTTTTTCCCGGAAAGGGCATGGGCCCAGGGTTCTCTTTTAGTTGGTTTACCCCCGGTTTTTACTTGAAGGGGGCCGGCGGAATTCTTGTGCGATAAATTACGAGGTCGAAGGGGGCCGGCTGATTTCAATTGTGAGGACGAAGGCAATTTTTCGCCACCCCTCACGCAGATCGTGCTCTTGGAATTTTACTGCCTTTAAGGATACCTCGATATTTCACAGGTGAAGTCATTTTTTTTTCCCCCCCCCCCGACATCGACTTTAAACGATAAAAAAACGAGGTAAACGCGTTCGCTCGATAAATAACGAGGTACCGCGGCCTCCGGAACTGCGCTGGGAACGGAGTTTTGGATTCTTGAAGTTGCATAAGTTTGGAAATAGCAGAAATCCCCTGTGTTTTTTGACCCTGACCCCGCCGATCTGCGTGAGGTGTGGCACGGAATACCAGAAATGTGTAAAATCCCTTGTGTTTTTGGACCCTGGCCCCGCCGATCTGCGTGAGGGGTGGCGCGGAATTCCAGAAATGTAGCAAATCCTCTGTGTTTTTGGACCCTGACCCCGCCGATCTGCGTGAGGGGTGGCACGGAATTCCAGAAATGTGGCAAATCCCCTGTGTTTTTGGACCCTGACCCCGCCGATCTGCGTGAGGGGTGGCACGGAATTCCAGAAATGTGGCAAGTCCCATGTGTTTTCGGACCTTGACTTCGCCCAGGAGGGCCCAGGAGCTCCAGGAGAGCCCAGGAGAGCCCAGGAGGGCCCAGGAGAGCCCAGGAGGGCCCAGGAGGACCCAGGAGGCTCCAAGAGGCACCAGGGGGCCTAAGGAGGGCCCAGGAGAAGCTCCAGGAGGCTCCAGGAGAGCCCAGGAGGGCCCAAGAGGTCCAAGGAAGACCCAGGAGGGCCCAGGAGCCCTTACGAGGGATCGTGGCCCTGGGAGCGCTGACGTAGCGTAATTTACGAGGGATCGTGGCCCTGGGAGCGCGGGTGTAGTGTAATTTTTCTTTCATAATTTGTTGAGGATGTCTCGAGCGAAACGCTGGTTTTGCAAAATTTGGGGATGTCTCGAGCGGGCGCTTCGTGGGGGGACAGAATTCAGAGGATGTCTCAGGCGAAATGCATGTTTTCGTGTCCCGCTCGCAGGAATTCCAAAGATGTCTCGCGCGTGCCGCGTCCCGCGCGCAGGAATTTCAAACAAGTCTCGACTAATTCGTTTGTTTTGCCAGGATTTCTTAGAATTTTGGCGGGATGTCTCGGGCGAAACGCTTGTTTTTCATAATTTTCATAATTTGTTGAGGATGTCTCGAGCGAAGCGCTGGTTTTGCAAAATTTGGGGGTGTCTCGAGCGGGGGCTTCGTGGGGGCAGAGAATTCAGAGGATGTCTCAGGCGAAATGCTTGTTTTCGTGTCCCGCTCGCAGGAATTCCAAGGATGTCTCGCGCGTGCCGCGTCCCGCGCGCAGGACTTTTGAGGATGTCTTGACTAATTCGTTTGTTTTGTCAGGATGTTTTAGAATTTTGGCAGGATGTCTCGAGCGAAACGCTTGTTTTCTATTGTTTTTTTGCGGATGTCTCGAGGGAAACGCTGGTTTTGCAAAATTTTGGGATGTCTCGAGCGGGCGCTTCGTGGGGGGACAGAATTCAGAGGATGTCTCAGGCGAAATGCTTGTTTTCGTGTCCCGCTCGCAGGAATTCCAAGGATGTCTCGCGCGTGCCGCGTCCCGCGCGCAGAAATTTTGAGGATGTCTCGACTAATTCGTTTGTTTTGCCAGGATGTCCTTGGATTTTGACCGGATTTCTCTAGCGAAACGCTCGTTTTTCATAATTTGTTGAGGATGTCTCGAGCGAAACGCTGGTTTTGCAAATTTGGGGGATGTCTCGAGCGGGGGCTTCGTGGGGGGCCAGAATTCAGAGGATGTCTCAGGCGAAATGTTTGTTTTCGTGTCCCGCTCGCAGGTGCCACGTCCCGCGCGCAGGAATTTTGAGGATGTCCCGTAGCGCGTCCCCTTGGCACGTCCTACGGTGCGACCCCATGGCACGTCCCTTGGCACGTCGCCTGGCGCGTCCCTTAGGACGTTTCGCGGCGCGTCCTCCTGGCATATCCCCCTGTCAATTAGCTCTGGGGCAGCTACTATGTGTTCAGGCAGCTCGAGCTTCAGATCCAGATCA